TTTCAAATCGATCTTCATCAGCGTGTTGTGGTTTCAAAATCTATCTTCATCAGCGTGTTGTGGTTTCAAATCGATTTTCATCAGCGTGTTGTGGTTTCAAATCGATCTTCATCAGCGTCTTGTGGTTTCAAATCAACCTTCATCAGCGTGTTGTGGTTACAAATCAATCTTCATCAGTGTGTTGTGGTTTCAAACAATCTTCATCAGCGTGTTGTGGTTTCAAACAAACTTCATCAGGGTGTTGTGGTTTCAAATCGATCTTCATCAGCGTGTTGTGGTTTCAAACAACCTTCATCAGCGCGTAAATGCGTGTGCATATGGGGAGGTGTGGGTGGGGACACATGCAGCACAGTTCTGGACATATTGTAGCCTGTTTAGGCACTTGGCAGATGCATTCCAACAGTCCAGATAAAGGATGTGTGGCTTTGCCAGCAGAACCTGGCAGTGTTCTGTAGATGGAATAAATAAACTTTGGTCACATTTTTGATGTGGGCCTCAAACGAGAGCTGACTGTCAAAAATCACACCCAGGTTGAGAACCTCCATGGAGGGGAGGACCTTGACACCATCAGTATTGAGGTCGGCGAGCAGGTGTCCAGTGTTGAACGAAATCTAATTTACTCCAGCCTTAATCATTGTACACTATATATACAAAGGTACGTGGACACCCCTTCAAATTAGTGGATTCGGCTATTTTTAGCCACACCCGTTGCTGACAGGTGTATAAAATCGAGCACACAGCCATGCAATCACCATAGACAAACATTGGCAGTAGAATGGCCTTACTGAAGAGTTCACGTGACTTTCAACGTGGCACCGTCATAGGATGCCACCTTTCCAACAAGTCAGTTCGTCACATTTCTGCCCTGCTAGAGCTGCCCCGGTCCCTGCTAGAGATGCCCCGGTCCCTGCTAGAGCTGCCCCGGTCCCTGCTGGAGCTGCCCTGGTCCCTGCTAGAGCTGCCCCGGTCCCTGCTAGAGCTGCCCCGGTCCCTGCTAGAGCTGCCCCGGTCCCTGCTAGAGCTGCCCCGGTCCCTGCTAGAGCTGCCCCGGTCAACTGCAAATGTTGTTATTGTGAATTGGAAACGTCTAGGAGCAACAACGGCTCAGCCGCGAAGTGGTAGGCCACACAAACTCACAGAACAGGACCGGCAAGTGCTGAAGCGCGTAGCGTGTAAAAATGGTCTGTCCTCAGTTGCAACACTAACTACAGAGTTCCAAACAACGTCAGCACAAGAAGTGTTTGTCGGGAGCTTCATGAAATGGGTTTCCATGGGCGAGCAGCCGCACACAAGACTAAGATCACCATGCGCAATCCCAAGCGTCGGCTGGAGTGGACTCTGCCATTGGACTCAATGGAAGCACGTTCTCTGGAGTGATGAATCACGCTTCACCATCTGGCAGTCTGACGGACAAATCTGGGTTTGGCGGATACCAGGAGAACGCTACCTGCCCCAATGCATAGTGCCAACTGTAAAGTTTGGTGGAGGAGGAATAATGGTCTGGGGCTGTTTTTCATGGTTCGGGCTAGGCCCCTTAGTTCCAGTGAAGGGAAATCTTAATGCTACAGCATACAATGACATTCTAGATGATTCTGTGCTTCCAACTTCGTGGCAACAGTTTGGGGAAGGCCCTTTCCTCTTTCAGCATACATAAATGGTTTGTCGAGATCGGTGTGGAAGAACTTGACTGGCCCGCACAGAGCCCTGACCTCAACCCCATCGAACACCTTTGGGATGAATTGGAACGCCGACTGCGAGCCAGGCCTAATCACCCAACATCAGTGCCAGACCTCACTAATGCTCTTCTAGCTGAATGGAAGCAAGTCCCCCGCAGCAATGTTCCAACATCTAGTGGAAAGCCTTCCCAGAAGAGTGGATGCTGTTATAGCAGCAAAGAGGGGGACCAACTCCATATTAATGCCCAGGATTTTGGAATGAGATGTTCGATGAGCAGGTGTCCACATACTTTTGGTCATGTCGTGTATGTAGAACAAAGCTATTTAAATAAATGGTATTCACGCCACCCACCTACCTGATACCATTGGGTCATCGCCCTCTGCTCTCAGGTATACATCCTCTTCTGGGATGGATGCAGTAGCTCAATTGATGTTCTCTTAAAACTTCTTCAGTGTTGTCTTCGTAGTTCGGTTTTTGGACAGCCGGTGTGACAAGTAGAAACATAAAGTCATCATGTTGGTCCCTGTGTTGTGTTGCAGGGTCCAAGCAGTACCAGACATTTTACATTTACATTTTAGTCATTTAGCGACTTACATTTTAGTGAGTGCATACATTTTTCATACTGCCACCCCCCCACCCCTAGACTGTGTTAGACTGTGTGTGTTTGATTGTGTGTTTGATTGTGTGTTTGATTGTGTGTTAGACTGTGTGTGTGACGGCTTTGTGTTGTGTTGCAGGGTCCCAGCAGTGGCAGACCTGAGGAAGAACTGGAGCGTCTCACCAAGAAGATGCTTTGTGACATGGACAACCCTCCGGCTGAGGAGTACTTTGGTAAGACAGGACTTTACTGTCCATAAACCTACAGTAAATATCATTATAGTGAACTATGATTCACAGCCAAAGACAAGGCCACTTCAGCACTCTACTCTTCCATTCAGAGAGACAGATGAACAACCCCAACAGCACTAGCAGCAACTCCTTATGTATGTGACCAACCAGGGCTTAAACCCAGGTATCCTGCACCATAAGATGGATAGCCTGCTGAGCTCTGAATCCCTAAGTCACCCCAAAACACCCCCAAACACAACGCCTAATCGCAATCTCCCGAGTGGCGCAGTGGTCTAAGGCCACTAGATATCCTGGTTCGAATCCAGGCTCTGTCGTAGCCGGCCGCGACCGGGAGACCCATGGGGTCTGGGTTCCAGGGTTGTGGGTTCGATTCCATTACATACTGTAGATGGTGAATGAAAAAAAAATAATGTATGCGCTCACTAACTGCAAGTCGCTCTGGATAAGAGCGTCTGCTAAAATGACTTAAATGTAAATGTAATCATGATCGCAATCTCCTACACCGTGTCAGAGGGCTGCAGCCTGACCTTTTCCTATGTGTCAAACAGTCACCTACTAGCTTTGACAGTATCATTCATTCACCATCTACAGTATGTTGGATTGTCTAACTATCCATAGAACCGTCATTCCAAGTCTTTGTCAGTCAAATCCAAAATACTCAACTCTACTCTGCCACACCCAGGTGATAATACAATAGGGCAGGCTCTCTGCTCGCCTCACGTCAATTTAGCTAAAATGAGCCTGTGAGTCACAGACTCTGACCCATACTGAACCGTGAGAGAGGAACAGTAGAGGAAATGGTTTGTGGAACCTTACACACTTTCTCTCTCTCTCTCTCTCTCTCTCTCTCTCTCTCTCGCTCTCTCTCTCTCTCCATCTCCCTCTCCCTTTCTCTCTTTCTCTCGCTCTCTCTCTCTCTCTCCATCTCCCTCTCCCTTTCTCTCTTTTTCTCTCTTTTTCTCTCTCATCTCTCTCTCTCTCTCTCTCTCTCTCTCTCTCTCTCCTCTCTTCTCTCTCGATCTCCATCTCCCCTCTACCTTCTCTCTTTCTCTCGCTCTCTCTCTCTCAATTCAATCACTTCAAAGGGCTTATTGGCATGGGAAACATATGTTTTACATTGCCAACAGCAAGTAAAAATATAAACGAATAACATAAAAAAT